TGGTGCTTCTGCCTAGAGCGCCATTTTGCCGGACCTCCCCTTTCTAGATTTTTTTAATGAAACTCTGTTCACATGAAAAATGTTTACATTTTCTACTATAAAAAATATCAGGTAAAGGGAATAGCATTAGAGTCACTAATTTTGGATTGTAAGGGTCTTCTATATGGCAGACAAATTCATAAAGAAGTCAAAAACTATGGATACACATTGAATGAAAACAGTTGCATTTGCAGCTCTAGAGATTCCAACATGAATAGCAAACCAATTACTGCAATTGCCATTTATGGCGCCTGCAGTGAAATAATGGCCAGAAAAAATACTGGACATGGTTCTCTGTAAGCCTAGTGTTACTGTATTCTGTCTCAAAGGCTAGAGGATATTCCCTTGGCTTCCTTGTGTCAATTTCAAGAGGAGAGAATGGGTAGACAAGGCTAGGGTGCTGTAAGACTTTGAACAATGTGGGTGCAGACAACAAATCTTTTGTGGACTAGGGAAAATTGGAAGGGATACAATCCTATAGGAATGTAAGATGCAGGTTTCATATTAATTGATAACTAGCATTTTTATAGAAAGTAAAATGATTTTGGTTATAGATTTTATAACATCTAAACCAAGAAAACCAAAAGCAAACCGTTTGCTGTTCAGTTGATTCTGACTCATAGCCACCCTACAGGACAGAGGAGAACTGCCCCAAAGGGATTTCCAAGCAGAGGCTGGTGGACTGGAACTGTCAACCTTTTGGTTAGCAGCCGAGCTCTTAACCACTGAGCCACATCTAGTTCAGCTTAATATGGAGCTCTGGTGGCGCAGTGGTTAACAGCTCAGCTGCTAACCAAAACGTCAGCAGTTCCAATCCACCAGCCGCTGCTTGGAAACCCTATGGGGCAGTTCTACTCTGTCCTATAGGGTTGCCATGAGTTGGAATCGACTCAACGACAAAGGGTTTGGTTTTGGTTTTTGGTCGCTTACTTTAACTTCTGGTCAAGAGCATGATTTACTTTGCGGAGCCAGAGCCAGGAAACTTTGGAGAGACTCAGTAAACAAAGAGCAAGTATTTTAGCATTTGATATGTATTGCATACTAGAGGAAATACAGTAATATTTATTTTGAATAATAACCCCACACTCTTCAAAACAGATTTTGGTTAGACATTTTAACGGCCAACTGCTTTGCAGACTCAATTTGAAAAGGAGGAGAAACTGTTGTGAGTCTGCTTCCTCCATCCAGAAAGGGAGTGACTTCGTATGGAT